ACGACACAGTGTCGTACGACCGAAATCGTATAGTGGGCGAGAGGCCTTACGGTAATGGTGTTCCCTCAGCTAATAAGAAGCCCTCAGCTGTCATCGTAGCCTCTTCTATACCTCCCCTGAGTAAATACCAACTTGCTGTAACATTTAAAAATTCCGTGTTTAACTTGCCTTTTCTATTATCAAACCCAAAACGGAATTTTTATATAGTACAGCAAGTACAGTTGGTTATGTTAGGTTAGCTTAGAACAGTTTCATTTCTTAATCCATATAATAGACTATTTTAGCCGAAACAAGATCAGTTAGTTGTTGTCAATTTGGATCGGAAAACAAAATTATCGATATATCGAAAAAATCATCGATAATGAATGTTCCAGTACCCAAATGACATATGTTTAATTTAATGTTCATTTGTTTATGTTGTGTTTGTAAATATTTATTTTTTTATATGCAAGAGCACAGAGCAAGAGTTAATACAAAAATATGGCTTTAAGTTTAATAATTACCTACCTAGTATCATAGATAAAACATACTCCCTAGTATCTAAAATAAATCCAACTAAAATAACTTTAAACTTTCTTAAAAAGTTTTACTTATATATTTTGTAAAATAAATTGCCTTCAAAAGTTCTTCAACACAGATCTACATTTGAAATTCGGTGATACACATTTTGTTTAATCAATTTTTTCACTGTACTTCTTCAACCTGCCCAAACACATCCGCATTAACAAGATACAAAATGTAAACTCACAATCCAACGAAATCTCTAGAAACAGTGTTCCAGCTTGATGAAGTCTACCAGGAGAAGAACTCCCATCACGATACATAATACTGCGTTCAACGCTGAGTGTCCACCTGAACTGTCGATGACGCCGACGAGTCCGACGATGAAGAACAGGATGAACCCTATGATGAGGAACAGCCTCTGAGCCCACTGCCCAGGAACTTCGTCCAGGAAGTAGAGCGCGACGAAGATACAGAGAACGTTGAGGTACCCGCAGTTGGCGAGGAGGAAGAGAACAATGTTGCTGTGCTTGTCCCATAGCCCGGATAGAACCCAACACTGTCAATACTACCAATAGGGGAAGGTGTTGTACCTTGGACCTATATGTACCTTGGACCTTTGCTCATTCTGGCACTATATGTTGAGTAAAGGGAGAACTTGTACCCTTATTTTATGCTTTAGCCACCAGAGGTCTATCCTAATGTGTTCAAGTTGGAATTGAATGTGTCCTTTTGACAAGAAAACTAAAACAAGTTTTTACAAGGAAAAACTAAGTATATTCAACTTTTAGTTTTCTTTTATTATGTTAAATTTTTATGATTGTTTATCACAGCTGGCAATTTGATGCTATCTATAAACCAACAACTCAGCTACAGTTTCATATGATTCACACCATTTTAATCCTAACCTAGAATAGTCTAGAACCAAGTTTTTACAAAATTGCCAGGTGTTGTACCCTGGACCATAGTAGCTTAGGCTACTAAAAGCAGACTTTAATAATTCTTTCAAAAAGGTTTATTATATTGGCATTTGTAATTTAATTTGCTAAAAACGAACAGGACAGAGCCCCCAAGACAGTTAGACGAATATTTTACGTAGGCCTTAACTAGCTATAAGTGAACTTGAGTGAATTTCTTACAAAATATGATTAAAATATGTATTGTAAGGGCCAGTTTTGTTATATTTTATAAAATTAAAACTAATTATTAATTTGATAACATTTAAATGCGTTTCTACATTTATTTCCACTACTTAAATATCAGTGGTCCAAGGTACAACATATGTAGGTCCGAGGTACAACATAGGTATTGTACCTTGGTCCTAATGTCAAATTTTTTTTTAATTGAATAACTTTTTTTGGGTGAAAATAAAGGGTTAAATCAAATATATGTATTGTGTTAAAGAACAATGATTACTTTTCACTAACATTTATTGTGTTTTAATGTATCATATCAAAATGAAAAAATAAACAGGTAAAATAGGTCCTAGGTACAACACCTTCCCCTACGGACACCTCCAATTCTGACACCTCCTGATGAACCTGGGACTCCGCCGCGATCTGAGGAGACCCAGATGACAAAGATGACGATGTTCACAATCATCGCAACCACCTTCAGCAAGAGGTTCAAGTCCTTAACGTCCACCATTTCTGAAATGATATACTGTATAGAGGTTTAAAATAATGTTGTTGAAATGGAGTTAAATGTAACAATAAAATGTAATCACCATATAATAGCATATGGTGATAAATGAACATGTGATTTTAATTTATAACGTACATGATTTTACGAAAACATACGGTGTGTGATGACAAATATCTTGAATTTTCCTGTAAGATTGATTACGTAATTAGAAAGAAAACACTTTCAAACCACACACAAGTATGCTAATTAATCTTTGAAAATCTCTGGATTTTCGATTTCTTGTTTATTTTTTAAACCTTTACCGGTACTTTTCCAACCCGATATAAGTTATTTACTTGTAATATAATTCTCGCTTATATATTGTGTCTAAACCTAAAAAAAACAACAATAAACCTACATCAACCATCTATATTTCAGAGTAAATAAATACGTGAAATCAACTTATTCGTTTTATCTCATATAATTTAACGATCATTCCACTCGATACCTGGTAAAGTGTTTCCAAATGGAGGTCAATCGCCTTGTAATCGCTGTGGATATTGATAAAAACCATCAAGCCAAATGCTAGAAGCCAAATTACGTGGAAAACTGCCTAGGGGCTTCAATGGCTTTAAGTAAAATGAGAAAATAACTTTATCTGTCTTTAAGTGAATAACCCTTTAAGGAAAAATTGTTTGCATCATTCGTAGTCAATTAAATGATATTATGGTAGTTACTGTCAAAACAATAAACCTTCTTATTGCAGGTAAATTATAATTGCGAGTCAAGAAGTAACAGGTGTAAATTTTTAGACTAGGTGAAATGGCTGGAAATCGTAATTTCTTAGTCTTACTCTTACAACGTTTTGTTTATTTACAACTCTATTTTGCGAGCTCAGTGTTAAGTAAACGAATCTGTTTTTCTTTAAGGGCTGATCATTTCAAACCAGATGTTTCTTATTCCACACACTTAGCTAACACTATTTTTACTTACTGTGTGCCTATACAAAACTTTGACTAATTATAATATATTTTTTCGTTTTATTTGAGTTCACCTACATAATCGGAATGCTTTGGAACGGTCCAAACGCAGTTCTTGTATTTTTAACATTGGCTTATTGTTGAATAATAAGTAGATTTCCCATCCTTATGGAACAGCTGAGGGCAATTTTATTGTTAGTTCTGTCCGGTGTACTATGTAGTGTCAAGGGGACCGAGCTGGCGTAGTGGTTAAAGCGCGGGACTTCAGTCCCTGAGATCCCGGGTTCGATCCCCACCAAGTCACCAATGAATTTTATCTTAAGTGATAATGCCGCAACCTCTAGGTCTAGCCTGAAGTAATGTGAAAAACAATCCCAGGCTTGTGCCTAGCGTCCTAGGGGAAAAAAAACTGTTAGTTCTGTCCGAAGTACTGTAGAGTCGTGTTTTGTTTACAATTTGTTTATATAATTTTAGGATTAGTTTATCATGATTTGTGCCTCACTGTTTGGTTTTATAGCTAGTGGACAAGTTATTGTTTATGATTAGATAGTTTTATTTGCTTAAACGAGGTTTTATATTACTGAATGTAGCAAGAAACGAATTTTAAACAAAACACGACTCTACAGCATCGATCTCTATAATAATAGAGATCGATGCTCTACAGTAGGCTACACCGGACAGAAATAACAGTAAAATTGGCTTCAGCTGTTCCTTAAGGATGGGAACTCTACTAAGGGAGTATGTTTTATCTATGGTTTTAACTATGATAATAACCAAACCAACCATCATCGATCATCCGTGACCCAAATCAAACCGGAGAAATAAAATCCATTTTATTTTATCCAGCTGTATAGTGACTCAATACAGTATAGACTGCTTTATATGGGGAATCGAAACAATGCTGAATGACTTAAAACTTGATGTGTAAACTTTCTCAAAGAAATTGTTAGGACCCAAAAGTCTACCAAGATATTTTTGGCTGCAGGTTTTTGTGAATAATTAAATTTTCCAAAAGGCGTTAGACTTATTTAGAATGGCTTTGTTTTAATGTTTAATAATTATCTCGTATGTTTCTATCGTATGTAGTACAAAGAATTATGGGCAGATGTGCCACGGCTGTCTGAACGCAATGTAAATTTCCACAATGTTCCATCTTTAGTTAGAAGATAAGTTAAGTTTGTTACTTGCTGTTTTTAAAACCGTTAATAGACGTTTTAGTCGTGCATCAGCACCGACGCGTCAGCAAAGATTCTTCACCAGGATGGGAAGACTATTGTACAGTAATTGAATGCCGATGCAAAAATAAATTAATTTGTTTCATTGCAGAGTTTAATCTCTATTGCAGATGGTTTTATAGAACGCCTTAACAAACTATAGCTTAATTACAAGTTCCAACGATGGAGAAACAGCATCGCAGCAAGGTACGTAATAAACCGCCTGTAACAACAGCAATTAACGGAAATGTCAAATAAACAATTACAAGGCGATTTGCATCGGAAATTGCAAGGCTCGAGGTTATAAATGAAATTCACTATTTTCCACTCTTAACGGGAAACCCGAGGCAACAAATTGTTTACGTTTACACTGCTTGACTATGGAGGCACTTGGTTTGGCGGAACAACGAAGCGCGTAATAAAAACCCCCGCGAAAGCGCTAGCGATCATTTTATTATGCTCCGTAAAAAACGTCTTAACACATAGGCGGATAGACACCTTCAATATGTGAGGATAATAATATACTTGTTAAGAGCACAAGATGGACCAATCGCAGGCAAGATAGGCCTCGCCCTTCTGTCAACTTTGGCGACCAATAAGAGAGAGGCGTCGTCCCCCGCTACAAGAGGGCGGGGCTTAGCACGCCTTCCCCTCCGGTACCGGTCCTCAGTGTCGACAGGATAGCTGAACCGAACAGAAGATGTTAGCGTGATTGTGAGTGGAAGAATCTGTGCGACATGGTGCGTAGACGACATGCTGACTCTAGTGCTTCGCTCGACTGTTAGCTGAAATTGGAGTTTGTACAATTGTAGGCTAGACATGGGATATACGGTGCAAGTGATGAGTCGGTAAGTTTTTCATTAGACCAAAGTGCCGGAACTGAGTAACTCGAACGAACTGCATATAGATTAATTTAGCATCCGACCAAAAACTGTTATTTTACGGGATGATTTAGGACAAAAATTATCAACGTTAAGTTCCCAAGCATCTTTTCAAAATTCCGTGGTTCCACCAAATCATGATGCCGTTGGCACCGACTCCTATAGCGGCGGTCCCCTCCAAGCCCAAGATAGGGTTCTCGATAGACTCTATAGTCGGGGGTGGTACCAGGACACAGTCCGCGTCCCCCAGGAGTGATGGCGAGAACAGTAATCAGTCAGTGTTATCCGAGAGTCCCGTGGGATCTCCGCACCAGGAGGACGGTCACCATAGGACGACAGTACACTCGCCGCCGCACCATCCCGGGTCCTCGCCCTCGCCTAGCTTATCGTCCGCCGCCTCGCCGACCCTGGACCCCGGCAGGACGTCCCCAGGGCCTCCGACGATAGTGCGACCCTCGGCGCTACCTCCGGGTGCGCTACCACCCTTCTCCAAGTCCTCTCTGTACCTGCCGGATCATCTGGTCCACGGACACCACCATCAACTCGCCCTCGCCGCCGCCGCTGCCCAACACTTCCAGGCCGCCGGTCTCGCAGCCGCCCTCGGCAACGGCTCGTTTCTGCCCCCGGGCGCCCCTCAGGTGCCGCAGCCCAACGGCGCCCCCCAGTCTGGACCTCAACTGCTGCCTCCGAGCCATCACCATCCCCAGCCACCGCGGGACACCTACCCTCTCTATCCCTGGTTGCTGTCTAGGCATGGCGGCAGGATATTCCCGCATAGGTTTCCAGGAGGTTAGTGCATTTACTTTTTTACCAGTAGAGTTATTATCAGACTATCAATGATCAAAAACACGCATTCAACCATTTCAAAACTTGTTTTGCAGTAGCTACAGTTTAACAAACGAGAATCAGTAGTTAATAGTTGTAAATAATAATCCCACAGTGTTTGCCCGCATCATCTAGGGAGATATGTAGGCCTGCAGTATTGTATTTGTTTGTAACAGGGCCGTAGCTCCGCCCTAAAGTAACTTTTATCCTGTAATAAGTTAATAATAATTATTTTAATATAATTTTCATTGATCGTCGACTTAATTACTTAAATGATTTATTTAACTAAAATGTTCAGTTTTATTTCATTAGGAAATTCCACATTAAAAATTTTTCAGATGTCATTACTGTAACACTTTAATTTTGGTACCCATTAGTTATTGTTTAAATAAATGCCTTTTTACTGCCATTACAAACAATTGTTTCTGTAGACAAATGTTGTCAGTAATTGTGTAGTACTGTATTCCTAATACTGACATGACATTATACTGTATTTAGTTATTCATTGTTTTAATAATAATTGAGATTTCTGAGTGTTACACCAAGCTTAGCGCTTAACATAAATACTGTAAATCTGAAAATATTCCGTCCAGCCTACTCTGTCGTTTGTAGACTTCATAGTTTTATAAACTACAATATAAATGTTTTAGATATGTTCCTTTTTTTGACATTAGGATAGTTTTTTTCTAGAGATAAAGATTGAATAGTCGCGCAGCAGTTTACAGTAGTTAATCCACAATTGTCTGAATAAGAACATAATTGATTATATATATGTAAACACTTTCATTAATCGCATATAGAGATAATTTCATAGGTCTCCAAATATTCCAAATTCTTTGAATGTATATTTTCTAAAAATATATAGGTAAAATCTTAATATTGGGTTGATAATAAAAGATTATGCCTTAATTTGTTAAAATAAAACGCATTGTTTTTGTCGATTACAATTGTTCGGTATAATTGTTTTACGATCAGTAAATTAATAATTTAATGCTGCTTTTACAAAGCAATATTAAACTATTAATTTCGGCATCACCGCATTAAAGAAATATTTAGATACATTTCCCTATTTTAATATAAATCTACTTGAAGATATATATGGAATTTCATTCAAATCTTAAACAAAGTAGATGTATGTAAATGATAAGTACGGAATTTTATAATCTTAATCTAAGCTTAATCTTGATCTATAAAGGTGGTTGCGTATTTAATTTTTATAGATACTATTTCATAATAGGCCTACTGATATTTACAGAAACTTTATATTATATTAAATAATTTATTCTGCATTTTAATTCCACCGAAATTGCCTATATGAAAAAAATGTTTAAACAAATGGATACAAATAATTATTAAACTCATTCCAAATTTAGGCCATTCGATTATTATTGTTTGCACACTTAACAAATGTTTTGTACAATTTAACGGGTTAACGTAGGCATTTATTTATAATTCCAACACAAAATTGAATACATTAAAAATTAATACTTTAAACTGAAGAAGCTCATAGATGTTTTGGTAGGTTAATTTAGATTTTGGTCTATTCACTCCAGCGATTCACCCATCTAATTGATTTAGCCGTGTTTAAGAAACGAAGTAGTACTTATTATCGCATTCTTCAGAACATTGAACACGAATATTGTCCTCAACACGAAGTTTTATACATACTAACATAATTAATTGTTGTTGCTACATTACCATTTCCGTATAGGACTATGCTAAATCTTACCTGCACTATAAAGTGCAATATTTATTTCAAAATATTAGTGATAGTTTAAACAATCTAAAATATATATCTTAATATCGACAAAACTATGATGTTCTTATTATTTTACCAAATTATGAACAGAGGTTAAAACAACCACTGAAAACTTAACATTTTAATTTTAACACGAAAATATGTATTCTAGGATAACAACCATTTCAGACATGGAGTTGTAGTGGTAAGCACTCTTGATAGCGACCTTCACAATTGTACACAACAGATAAGAAACAGTGCTTCTATTATTTTTATTAAATCCTGCTTGCAACCTAATCCTAATCCTAATCCAATAACTTCTGGTTTGATCTTGCTTTTTGTTTAGTTAAAGAAAATGTGTTTTCTTATATTGTATGAATAAGTTGCAAGATGCTTGTAGAATATTTAAAATGACATTAACAGACATAATGCGTGATACCCACTACCCAGAAGTAAATTAAAGAAAGATAAAACAAAATCTAGAGTCTTAAACGAACGCAAACTAATCCAAAAAATAATTGAGACCAAAAGCATGCAAACATACAAACTAAATAAAACATATTTTTATTTCATCACAGGTCTTGAATTTTTTTTTTTCGGAATATGTTCTATGTTTATATACGTAGGCTACAACAATGACAACTTAACTTTAAACTATTGTCACAAGCAATTAATACCGCTTTCTAACAAACGTTGGATGTTAGATATTCCATAACAACACCACATTTTGTATGGTTCCCTAACAAAACCGCTAAATACCATTGACGTAGTAAAACACAAAATACCATGTTTAGCTTAATATATAGCCTTAACAATTCGAATTCACTTGGCCTTAAACGCTGTTTAAACTAATAACTCGGTGGTGCTTGCCGAGCGGAGGTAGTATATCTTGACATTATTTTGTCTTTGACCCTCACCATAAAGCTTTATTATTATTTTTACCTACAATTTAAAATAAAGACAACATTTCTGTAGAGATAATTATTATTGAGGTAGTTAAAATAGTAACATATTTTTCGCCAGTGAGAGGAAGTAAAACAGAGAGAGGTCATTGTCATTCCTGTATTTCCATTTGAATCACAACCCTGGGATGGTTTCATCTCTAAGCAGAGCGGTACAGTCCTAATTAGTGATAACTTAAATTCAACCAAAATAGTTTCGGCCTCTGTCATTTTCGTTACTCATAAGTGCATAACATTTTTAATTTTTTACCTATGGTAAGTAAAAAAATAGAAACGCGAAGGTGTCCTAGCCGAGTTTTTTTTTATATAGTCAGACTCTCTTTTGGAAATCCTGGGTTGGAAAATAGCCCATGTAATAGATGTGCATAGATGGCATCTATAGATCGTAAGTGGCTAATTGGTCCGTAATGTGGTTTTCGTTCAAACAATATTAATTCAAACGGATTGCGTGTCGATGTCTATGCCTAGCTCGCTCCGCTCAGCTGGTATAACCTCATGGGATTACGCAAAGAACTGAAAGTATTGGCTTTGAAAACAAGTTACCTACAGTATGTCTTTAAAATTTGACATAGACAATGACAACTAATAGTAAATGCCCCGCGGCCGCTGCAGCAAACCTGCCGACTAAGCGAATTTCCATTTTCCTGGATTGCTTTTCAATTAAATTAACATTTATGTTTAACGAGTACGTACCTAGGTTAGCTACAGAAAAACTAATAAAGTGTGTTTTTTATTAAAACGTCAAAAGTATATTCTGAAATAAATAAATCTGCCAAAATAAATAAGTTTGATAAAAATCTATCCATAAACAAGCCAACTACTGTACAACATTTTACAATACTCTCCATAAGAATAACATGGGAATTTTAAATTACACATTTTTTGAATTTTCTCCGTAACCAATTACCGTACAAAAACACATTGCTATACTAAATTATTTGTTTTTATAAGACCTTTAAAAAAGTCAGGAGAAAAATTGATAAATTTTGTGTTTTAAGGGTCAAAAATTAAATTTTTTACCATTTTTACCCCATAAACCCCCCGTTAAACCCTGTTCCCACTGTCAGATCATGCTGGTTCGTAAACTCATTCAAGTTTATCCCGCCTTACACCTTCAAACCAAATATTATCAAAATCGGACAAAAATTACTCAAGTTATTGTCGGTTGGACGGACACACACACACACACACACATATATATATACAGTAAAAAAAAACATTAAAAAACATGAAACAAAAACAATAAAAAACAGTATAAATAAAAATTTTAACGAATGGTGTTTTTGGCCTCTGGGGACATCAAAATGAAAAAGTAAATCGGTCCCGGGCTTAGGTCTTACCATGAGACCTACGGTAATAGCTACTTCCCTATAGGGAAATTCGCTAAAACAACTAATGTATAGTCTGGAATTGATTTTGCCATTTAGATAAGTGCCCTAATGTTCCGTGTTGTGTCGTGTCCCGTGTCAGTGTTGTACACGTACAGTGTTGCCTAAGTGCGCGTGTTTGGAGCGACAGCTAGCGCCAGACTGTGTAATAATTTCCGGCATCGCACTTACACCACGGATTACCTTAATGGCGTCAGGAAACTTATTCTGTTAATTTTAGCAGGGAAGTTTAACTTTCCTCTCCTCAAAAATCGATTTATGTTTGACCCTAAACTCGATACTGATGACAAACAATCGTCACAACTAAAAACGTTGCCCCATTTAAATTATATACAGATATAAAACTAATGCAGATCTTATAAAACTACTATAATTTCAATAAAATGAAAACAGTCAATTAAATAGCTTCTCCTACAGATACCTGACAAATTGGGCTTCCTTGCACTGATTTAAGCACGCAATGTAGCTAATTGCTGCATTTACTTACGTATGTCGCACTCCAGTATTCCAACTAAACAACAGCAAATAGTGTGTTTAATTACGCACATAATACAGTACGTGTAGGCCTACGCTTTAAAATAAGTTGGCAACACTAAAGTTACTACAGTATACATACGTCTACTAGCTGGTGCAGTGTTTCCCATTTCGTCCAACACTTGGATTTAAACTTATCTAAAAACGTGCTGTTTAGTGTTTGAAACACTAATTATTTATATGCTTTGGATTAACTCACTGTAGGAAAAATATAATGTGTAACGCGAGCGCAAAGTGTGACTTTGCACACTACTTTAGTTACAAAAATAACTATTGTATCAAGGCGTGAGAATCTGTTTTATATTCTATTTTTTCATATGCTGAATTTACAATAAAGTAAAG